TTTCCGCGGACGCTATTTTCAGGGTCAATGCCCAAATTCCCATTAATGGCAATACGAGAACTAACATCGACTGGGTCTACGGCCGGTGGTCCGTCGGGGTTGACTGGAGGTACTCCGTTTCCCGGGGTGACTATGTTATCGTTCTCGCCATGAAGACCAATGTGGTGTCTGTGTGAGTGGTGCTACTTGAGAGTTTGACATGTTGATTCTTGAAATCAAAGACACTGACGAGAACCAGCGTAAAGCAGTGTGTGTTTTGAGGATTAATATCAGGCAATCACTATTATCCTTAGCCCCACGGTGGGCGCCAAACTGTTTACCCTTAAAATTGGTTAACAATTAAACTTATAATGTGGTTTTAAAAACACGTGATTTCACCTAATACCAATTGATAAATGTAAAGAGTAATCATAGAAATTAATAAAAAAAATTAAGCAAACCAGTGTTTCAACGAAATTCAGCCCTCGAGCTTGAATACCCTCGAATTGATAGGTGCTAGAACAGTTAGAAATAAAACAAGCTGATGAACAAGAATATCAGTTAGAAAATATTGTATTGCTTTGATATGCGTGAATGTAAGGTGGTTACAAAATGATTAGGACCCTCTTTATATAGTGGAGGAATCCTATCTATGGTACAATTCTAATTACGGAAGTAAATCTCATGATTATCCTAAACAACTAATCTTGATTTGATATGTTCCGGGATTTTCGCCGTAATCTTCGACCGGTAACGGATATCTCATTTTTCCGTTATTGCGCTTTGCTCGAAGCCTTCCATATTTGGTCTCGATCAGTGCTGGCCTCGATCTCGACAAGTACCTCGATCTCGATACCTTGTCTTCGGGCTCTGGTCTGCTCCACTACGAGGCTGGTCTTCGATGTAATTCCCTGGGCTCGGTCAAATAGTAAAATTGGGTAGGCCCGTTTTTAACCGTATACACACATTCTATCCGAAGTTTTAAAAAAGGAAATGGCATGACCATTCAAACTAGTGATATTGAAGGGAAGAGGGAACACTAGTGTTGATTTGTAAATACCATCTATTGTTTCTTCTCTGATCACTCTCTATTCAAATTGGTAATCTGTGCCTCCCACATCTCCCATTGTACTACTTTTACCTATGTACCAAAGCCAAGGGGCTTAATCTGAAAAAAATATCTACTAATTCCTCTATATCTTACTTATAAAATATGTATTGGTCAAAATGTTCTTACAGTCTACAAAACAGAACTTGATTTTCACACTGTTAGCATATAATTATATATTGGAATTAGGATTTAAGTTATTAAATACACTGATAGTGTAAAGAAAGATTATTTTACATCAGTGGAGTTTAAATTTTAACATGTGATAGCATGTAAACTACCATTGTTATTAATCTTTACGAAGAAAAATACCTGAGCCTTGGCAGGAAAGTGTTAGTAGCTTCTGTTTCTTTGTAAACTACCAACTACTATTATAGAAAAGTCTGCAATTATGTAAAACATATCGCACGCATGAAACAATGTAATATCCTCAAACTGATTTTTACCCCCAAGAGCTCTCCAAGTCATTTAGCAGCTCGTAGAGTATGTTTGGCACATTAAGCAGCAGTCAAAGAATCCATTTCAGATATTCTGAAGAAGAGAAGAAGTAACCATTTCAGATATACCACATGCAAGAGATCAGAAGCAGATGATATGCTTATTTTTCTTTTAAAAAGGAAATGGCATGACCATTCAAACTAGCGATACTGAAGGGGAAGAGGGAATACTGGTATTGATTTGAAAATACCATATACAAAGATTTGTTTCTTCTCTGATCACTCTCTGTTCAAGTCCCAAAACCCTCCCCTGTAAATGGAAAGTCAAAAACCTTTTCTTCTGGAAGGGAAACACAAACGTACATTGGGGCATTAACATGGCAAATCAAGTTTTTGGCATATAATCCGATGGATCAGAGTATCTTAGGAAATGTGAAGAGAATTTCTGAAGACAAACAACAATAGATAGGTAACTGAATTATATCAAGTATCTCAGACCACAAGAATTGCCAAGTATACGTGAGAAGCAACTTGCTTTATCCATAATAGTACATTTCCAGTACATGGACCAGTAGCAAACCAGGAACATTCTGTGAAACAATCAAAAAGGAAGAAACCTCATGCACCTGTTATACAAGGACCCGAGCCAGAATCCCTACACTAACTCTGTAATCAACACCCAATACTAATCCCAAAAGGAGAAGCCGCGTTCTCTCATAACTCTTCGTGTTTCAGGCATTTTACGGAAATCCCTTTCTTTATCAGCTTTTTCAAATTTGACCCTCTCTTTGTTTTCCTGACTGCATGTTACTTTATTCTCTTGAAAATCGCCCCTGCCAGCTACCCAAGCCTGAAGCATCTCATCTACCTTGGGCTCCGACAATAAACCTTTTTGCTTCATTTCTTGATAGTATTTGTATGACTCCTCGATTTTTCCATTCAGAAAGAGTCCATGTATCAGCACTATATATGAGCTCCGATCATGGTCCAAGCCATTCTTGCTCATCTCGTCCCACAGCTTGAAGACATTATCAAGCTGGCGCCATCGGCAGAACTTCCGAATTAACATTATATAAGTGTCATGAGTTGGAATACAGCCCATCATATTCATCTTCTGCAACTGCTCGAACACTTCTTCCCCCGTCCTAAGGCAACGAAGCAATGCATGGTAAGTCCGAACAGTAGGATGTATACCTCATTGAATCATCTCATTGAAGACCTCCTGGGCTTCATCCAGCAATCGAGCTTTGCAGAGAGGCATGATTAATGAGTTATAAGTAACAGTGTTTGGAGTGAGACCATTCTCTTCCATCATCTTCATCACAGTCCTAGCCTGTTTAACCAACCTGCCTTTTGACAGAGCATGAATCACAGCATTGTATACTTTAACATCCGCCGCAACCCCATTCAATTTCATCTCATTGAAAAGCTTAAGTACTACATTGAGTCTACCAGCTCTCGAATAGCAAGACATGATACTACAATACGAAAAAACATCACGGGGAATCCCTTTCTCCTTCATGAACCTCCAAATCCGCTTTCCTTCACTTAAATCATCAAGGGCAAGACACCATCCATTGAGAATGATATTCAAACTCTTGGTATTCAACGGAAAAACATTCTTATTGCAAAAAATCAAGTGCTCCGCGTCTTTTACATTTTTGTAGCGACAAAGAGCGGATAAAAGATCTTGAAATTCTTCCATTCCCATATCGAATTTAAACCGTTTAAACGCATAAAAAGTACTGATAGCTTTCCCCACATCATGAACAGCACAGTATTTCCTAATCATAATCAAGAGTGTCTGAGGATTCACGAGAGATGGTCTATCTTTCCCACCTCTCATTTCATCAATCAATGACCACGCAGTGTCAAACTTTCTCATTTTGCCAAGGATAGATATCATAGAATGGTACTGACGTACAGAGTGCACATAACCTGTTTGTTTACTGGCCCAAATGAAGAAAGTGAATGCAACTTCCCAGTTATTCCGTACACGAGAAAGCACCTCAGTTACTAGTTCTTGTGTGGGCCTTACACCACATTGCTCAAGCTTGTTATACACTTGAGCAGCATTGCTTCCGGGTTCTCTGAAAATAGCTTCAATAGTTTCGAGATCTAAATCAGAATATGGTTCTTTATGATCTTCTACTGAATGTTCACTACTATCTTCCTGTTCAGAATCACTACACGAATTGCTTGAGGAAGGAAAAGTAGAGAACCTGATTCCCGAATTGAAGAAATTAACCTTATTAGACCTTGAGAGAGCAAAACCAAGTAGGAAACTCCGCTGAGGAACGAGGACACTACTGGCGGATCGAGAAAGACAAATTAGATTACTTTTTGGCAAATTGAGATAGTGGTGACCGTGATTCCCACGAAGGAAGAAGGAGAATGCAAGTCTTTTTCGAGACATAAATCCAATTCAGCTACTTCCATCCACAAGAAGCGAGTTATAATTTGTCACGAAACTGTTCGACGAAATGACTGAATGAAATTTACGCGCTACCTCTAATAAACTTTGCACGAATAACCATAAAACACTCACCCATGCCCTAAGTAGTTGTTCTCTTTGCTTTTTTTCTCCGTCTCAAAGCCTCGAAGTACATTTATAACAAACTAAAAAAAGTTTAAAATCTAAATGAACACGGTAGCATATATAAAAACGGATTTTACATCAGATAAATATTTTTCTAATATTTAAGACTTTGAAACCAAATAAAATTTTGACTATTAAACCTTTCCTTCGTAGTATATAAGAAATTAAAATTCTAATGTGTTTTATATTCACTTTTTTGTCTAACAAAAAATATAGAAGTAAAACTCTTATTTGTATAAACAATATCCTTATTATATTTGAATTACGTATCTAATCATTGACCATTCCTTATCGCATTTCAGCTATGTAGCAAAGCCTTGTATTTGTGAAAGAGGAACATGCTGTCGTCTTTTGATGAGGCATTTTTGACCGAATCCGTTACAAGAATTGACAAAAATAAGAGTGTGTGAGCAGTATTTTCACCATTTTGCTTTTTAGTTCATCGCTCATGAAAGAGGAATTGAGCTTCCTAATAAAATTTGATGTCTATTTACAAATCTTTGCATAATTCGCTTCTAAGACAAATGACCCCTAAGCGTATCATACAATACATTTAGCAGGGGAAAAAAAGGGAATCATTAGTGTCACTATGCAGCAAACAAATACGTAGCTTAAAAGATGTAAACTTGCACGACATGCTACAAAGGCTATCATTAACTACTCTCTCCAATCCACTTTTCTTTTTTTGGTTAAACTGAAAATTTGATTTAACCAAGTATATCAATATGTACAATTGACTCTTTGGACTCCAGAGTCACATCTCAGTATTCATACATTTTTGGAACTGTTCTACCTGTACTCTATTCAACCATCTAATCTATTCACATGCTATTCATGAATACAACTCTATGTTTTTGTGTTCTACTGGGTAACTATTTTAACAATCCAATTGTTGTCGCCACTTGCTCTGTCTCTGGCCATAAGCGTGCAGCTGTAGTATAACTTCCTTTATCAGCTGTCTGCTCGCTATTCGTTGATTGTTGAATCTTCTTCCATTCCTCTCTGGCCATATTTGATAGACACTTGCTGCAAACAAAAATCCAATGATGCCCGCTCTTGCTCTAGAATTATTGGTTCTTCTAGCTGTCCATTCGATTTCCTCTTCCCAGCTTCTGATTAGTCTCCTTTCCCCTAGCCAATGTAACAATGTGCTCCATATGACCTTTGAATAGCCACAATCAAAGAAAAGATGCTCCAATGTCTCCACTACAGTGGTATTGCATAAGACACATTCCTGCTCCACTTGAATTCCCTATTTGTGAAGTCTATCCACAGTGGACAACTTCTTATGCATTTTCAGCCATAGTATGAAGTGGTGTCTAGGAACAATTCCCTTAGCTAAGACCCGGCTTTTCCATGAAACTTTCTGGAGCTGAGGCATAAAGGTTTGATATGCCTTTTTGATACTGAACTTCCCTCTTTCCTCACATGCATTGAGATCATCTAATGGGTCTCCAATCATCCATTTCCTTGCCTCAAATATCTTCCTAACTATCCAACTACCTTGATTTGGGGTAGGCATGCTGGCCAGGTCTCTTCCTTTTATATATATGCAATGGATCCACTGTACCCATAACTTTTCCTTCTTTTTACCCACAACCCATAATAGCTTGCAAATTGCAGCTTTGTTCCAGATAAAAATATCCAAAATGTTCAATCCTCCTGCAACCTTAGGCATGCATACAATGCTCCAAGCAACTAGGGCCCTTCTTGAATATTCATTTCTACCAGTCCATAAGAAGTTTCTGCAAACATTTGTCACCATATTCAATATCTTCTTTGGCAATAAGAACACTTGTGTCCAGTCTCAAAGATTACACTTTTGATGAGTTGTACTCCGCCACTATATGATAAAAATTTGGTAGTCCAGCATTTAACTCTTGCAATGATCTTTTCAACTAATGGAAGGCATTGATGGATAGACAGTTTTCTAGAAGACAATGGAATCCCCAGGTATTTAAATGGTATCTCTCCCCCAGAGAAGTGCATCTCTTGCATAATATGCGAACTAAACTCTTGTGTCACTCCTGCAACATAGAAGGAACTCTTCTCCAAGTTGGATTTCAGTCCACATACACTAGAGAAGTGATTGAATGCTTGCATAATCAGGGATATGGACAACTGGTCAGCCCTACAACACATTAATAGATCATCAGCAAAGCAGATGTGCACTACTCCCATGTTAGCACACCTGGGATGGTAGTTGAAATCAGGTTTGTGTCTGAGTTGCTTCAGGGATCTATTTAGATACTCCATAGCCAAGACAAACAGGTATGGGGACATAGGGTCTCCTTGTCTCAATCCCCTCTTAGCTTGAAATATAGGGGTTAGACCACCATTCAAGAGTATGGAGTAATTAACTGTAGATACACAAGTCATGATCAGGTTTACTATCTTCTAAGGATTCCAAATTCCAGCAAGACCTATCTCAGAAAATCCCAATTCAGTGAATCATATGCCTTCCTGATATCCACCTTCACTATGCATCTAGGTGATACTTCCTTTTTTGCATAACCTTTCATAAGCTCATAAGCCAGAATCACAATGTCCAGGATATTTCTTCCTTCAATAAATGCAGACTGTGGTGACCTCACCAAATAATCAACCACAATCTTTAACTTGGCAGTTAACAGCTTTGCAATTATCTTGTAAAGAGTGGTACAACGTGCTATAGGTCTGAAATCTTTAGCATAAGTAAGATTAGATACTTTAGGCACCAATGTAATTGTGGTACAGTTAACCTCTCTCAACAGTTTAGCATTGTCAAAGAATTATAGTACAGCATTGACAATGTCTTCTCCTACTGTCTCCAAGTATTCTTTAAAGAATTCTGCTGTATATCCATCAATTCCTGGAGCCTTGTCATTTGGTAGGTCTTTAATAACCCTTAGGATTCCTTCCCTAGTGACTGTCCCAAGCATTTCCTGTTGTTGGCTCAATAATAGACAAGGTCCATCTCTAGCAATGGTAGTGTCAATACAAGGCATTATTGTATATGTAGCTCCCAAGAGTTGCATGTAGTATGCCAAGAACTGTTGTTGCACAATGGTTGGTTCTGAAACTAATATTCCTTGATCATTACATATAGAAGAGATCTTGTTCCTAGCTTGTCTTGTCTTCAACTAGGCATGGAAGTACTTTGTGTTAGCATCTCCATAAGCTATCCATGTAGCTCTGGATCTTTGTCTTAGTATTTTCTCTTGAACCATAATCTATTTTTCTAATTGAATGATCAACTCCTTTTCCTCAGCTATTACCTGATTATTAAAGAGATCATTAGCCAATTGGTTCTGGACCGCCTGCAACTTCTGTTGTATATTACTAATTTTAACCTCTGTGTTTGACATCTCTTTATTCATACCTCTTGCTTCATTTCCCAATGCCTCGAGCTTCATCCAAAGTCTATACATATGACAACCAGTGAGCTGTTGGTCCCAGCAAGTTTGAATAGCTTCTTTGAATATGTCCTGATTGATAAACACATTAAGTAGCCTGAATGGCCTTTTCAGCTTCTGTCTTAGGGACCATTGTTGTGATAATAGTAGGAGTATGGTCTGAACATTCTTCTAGGTTCCCATAGCTCTTGAACCATTTTTCATTACCAAATACCCAGTCGATATGGCTGTAGATCCTATCAGCACCATCCCTCTTGTTGCACCGGGAGTAAAGACGCCCCTTCCTGTTAACTTGTCCCAAACCTATATTAGTAATGCAATTCTGGCAATCTATTATTTCATTTAAATGCACTGGCATCCCATTCACTATATCTTCAGCAAAGAGTATGGTATTAAAGTCCCCAAGTACAATCCATGGCTCAGTTATAGAGATACTGATGTGCCTTAGAGCCTCCCATAATCCTCTTATGCCTTCTATAGTGTTGTAACCATAGACAAATGACATCTTGCACTGGAATTGAGAATCTTGATCCTCCACTTGGCAATGCACTAACTGTGTAGTGCAGTCCAGAATGGTAATCTTAACACAACTTTGTTTCCACCCTAATCAAATTCTACCATTTGGAGCCTGGGAATAATCAGAGTGGAAGCACCAATCAGTACCAAATTTCCTAGTAACCTTAGTAACATTATGTTGTCTAACTTTAGTTTCTAAGCAACCTACTAAATCAACTTTATTCTTGAGCAAAAAGTTTTTAAATTCTCTTTGCTTAGAGGTCTTGTTGAGCCCTCTAATATTCCACGAACAAAAGAACATGGGGAAGGTTTGGCAATAAGGCCATCACTCTGCAACTTTTTATTGTTACCTTTTCTTTGACCCTGAATTCTTCTACTCGCAGGCTCTCCAATTTTCAAGCAGAGTTTACTAAATAGATTGAGATCAACCTCATAATCTGAATCTTCATCAGTGTTTGGTATCTCCTTAGAGCCTTGGAATATTACCACGTGCTTTCCTCTGAATTGGACTTTAGAAGGGACAGTGTGAGTTTCCTCCCGTTATAGATTTTCTGGTGGAGTGTAGACTGCCAAGGACCGGTTTGCAGTTGGATCAGGTTGCCCTTCTGAGATAATTCTTATCTTAGGCTATCATTCCTGCCTTGTTTGTTTATCCTGTTTGGTTGCTTTTCTGAAGGGTATTTGCTTTTCCTGCTTCTGTTTTGGACAGTGCTCATTATTATGTCCAAACTGCAGACATTATGACATAGAATAGGCTTCCACTCATACTCAATTTTTTGGTTCCAAATACCGTCATCTGATTCTTCAACATTGACAACTTCAGGCAATGTTTGGGTGATATCCATCTCTATCAACAATCGAGCATAGGAAATTCTTTCACCTTTAGCTGTTAAGCAATCAGTGCACATAGACTTGCCCAGGAAACTTGCAATTCTCTCTAGATTTTCTTCATACCAATACAAGAGTGGAAGGCCTGGGAGGCAGACCCATATGGGTAGTACTCGTAGAGGTTCTTTTTGCATTTTGAAGTCTGGCGGCCATTATTTCAGAATCATTGGTCTGTTCCTGAAGGTATATGACCCATTTTGCATCCAATTGATTCTAGGGTTGTCTTCTTGGCATCTTTTCAAAGACCTTGCAGCACACATGCTTTTTCCTCTTCATTTTCAACCTTGAATATGAAATATCCATCATCATGTATGAATACTCTAGGTGTTGCCATAGAGTGCCAGACGCCATATACAAATTGCAACATTTCCTTGAATTTTGGGGTTCCTCCAATTACATAACCAATTAGTGCAGATTGCCATTTCTGCTTCTATTCATCGATGTCCGCCTCTGCCATCGTAGGTTTTGCTTGTTGAGGCTCCATCACAAAATTCAATTTGCGGGCAGGATGCACATTACCCTCATCCCCTTTGTTAGCAGCCCCTGAAATCCAGCTAGCTAGTTGAATTGGGGCTAGATTTTGCATCACCCCTGAAACAGGAGTAATCTGCCTTACAGATCTTGCCTTTGGGGAAGCTTCCTCCACCATCTGACTTTTAGGTTTCGACTGGTTTTCATGTTCCATTGAAACTTCCTCTTGTATATCTCCGTTTCCGGCGAGCCATCGTAGTGGTGCAAGTTATCAATTCTGGCTTAACATGCACCTTTGGACTTTCTCTCTCCTCTCTCTACAGTGCCGGAGCAAGTTCGCCCACTCTCCCCATTCACTTTAATATGTGTAAAAACGGCCAAAAAAATCAATTAAAGTAATATTACATTAAAAGTACCAACAACATCATAAATTCACATTAATTAAAAGTACAAATCACGTCTACATTTCTTATCAAGACAGAGAGGCTGAGAAATGTTATTAGAACTAATCACTTGGACTTCCCCACTTCCTCCGTATTTCCAAGGTAATCCCTAAATAGAAAATATCAAAGTGAGTTCAATTTCATGAAACTAGTATTTGATAAAAAAATTAATTACTAGGATGAAAGAGGATTTATTATGATCCGCCATAAAAACCATTGTTAACACATCAGAGCAAGTAGCAACGAAATGCGTCACAACGATACCAAACACAAAAACAACGTAGCCACGCCCCATGAAACTAAATACAAATACTACATTCCGCTATTACATAGGAAACTACTGACCATTAACCTTTTGAAAAATTCCAAACCTACGAATATTCTGAGGTGTATCTATGTACACACTAATCTCCTCAGACCCCAATATATGAACAGTTCATGGCGGTTTGATCGAACAAGCTCATAGTAAGCGAAGCAAAAGAGATTTATGCCAGAGTAACATTAAACTAAAAAAGTGCAACTTACTTTTCTATCTCCTCCAATCTTCCGCGCATCCTCCCAAAATAAATCCAGAATAAGCTAAGGATGATTAGAATACATTAATATAAAACTGAAAGGTATGCAATCACATGAAATCCCAATCAAGAAACAAAGTCATCCCAAGTTTGACTATCACCTAACACTTATTTATTGAAATTTATACTAGATTTCATTCTTTTCTGATTCTTAAAGTTCAATTTCACTTTTTAAAAAAATAGAAATATCAATATCAACAATAAAAATTGATACACGCCAGCCATATACCCCAGCAAGGAATGTTCCAGCTGCAAGGACCAGACATAAGAGTTAATATGAGAGAAATTTAAAGCAGATTATATAAGTGGTGATAAATTACCAAGATGAGCATTTTACTTTTGAGAAGGGAATTGTTTCTAGAACTACGCCCTGCAGATTAATAAAGAAATGAAAAAAATGGAATAAATGGGAGCATTCCGTTAGGTTGGGATGAAAATGGGGTATGGTGAGGCGACGCGAGCCTTCATAATGTATTATATTGTATTATGCTATATTGTATTGTATTGTTGCGATGAATATAACATTTTAGATTGTATCTATATCATTGTTTCATAAAGAATAAACTAGTAATATTATTTAAAAAGTAGGATACCTGATAGAATTATTATGTAAAAGATAAGGTAAAGATAAAACAGGTTATATTTAATACTAATAAGGAAGGACAACAACAACAACAACAACAACAACCCAGTATAATCCCACAGGTGGGGTCTGGGGAGGGTAATATGTACGCAGACCTTACCCCTACCCCGAGGGGCAGGGAGGCTGTTTCCCGGAGACCCTCGGCTCAAGACAGCAAAAAGAGACGAAACATTAGTACAATTAATAAACTCATACTTAAATAACACAAAATAACATAAAATACATAAAATAACAAAATAACAGCAATGTAAGAATTATAGGAAATACGGGAAAGATGGAAGGTATGCTAATATCCAACAGATAAATCCTTGCATCAGTAGTTGATCAGTAACATCCTAAGATTAACTCCTAACTGGCTAGTCTTACTCTAGTGCGCTGTAGGAATATCCACAACTTCCCCTTATCCTACAACTTTAATGGTCGACCTCCACAATTCCCTGTTAAGGGCCATGTCCTCAGTAATCCTAAGACGCGTCATATCCTGTCTGATCACCTCTCCCCAATACTTTTTAGGTCTCCCTCTGCCTCTCCTTGTGCCCACCATAGCCAGTCGCTCACATCTTCTCACCGGTGCATTAGTGCTCCTCCTTTGAATGTGCCCGAACCATCTGAGTCTTGCTTCCCGCATCTTGTCCTTCATGGGGGCCACGCTCACACCTGCCTGATCACCTCTCCCCAATACTTCTTAGGTCTCCCATTTATTCCATTTTTTTCATTTCTTTATTAATCTGCAGGGCGGAGTTCTAGAAACAATTCCCTTCTCAAAAGGAAAATGCTCATCTTGGTAAATTTATCACCACTTATATAATCTGCTTTAAATTTCTCTCATATTAACTCTTATGTCTGGCCCTTGCAGCTGGAACATTCCTTGCTGGGGTATATGGCTGGCGTGTATCAATTTTTGTTGTTGATATTGATATATCTATTTTTTTTAAAGTGAAATTGAACTTTAAGAATCAGAAAAGAATGAAATCTAGTATAAATTTCAATAAATAAGTGTTAGGTGCCCGAACTAATAAGGAAGGACAAGATGAGAGAGAAAAGTAAGGTAATGACGCGACCACACCAAATTAATCGTTACATAAAGTAGCATGTCATTATGTAACAAAGCATTTAATGATATGATACAATAAAATTTAAGTAAGAATAAAAACATTATATTTAAACTGATATTACGATATAATATAATAGATAACAACCATTCAAACAAGCTATGCTTAGATAAATTAATAGAGTCTGCTTAGCTACTATAATCTGACGTTGAAAAGTCTAAGGTGTCATGGACAAACTTCAACAAGACAGAAACATGTTAGCTTCCACATGAACCTGATTATTTCGATCCTAAAAAAAATAGGTGCCAAAGGAGACACAAAAGATAAATCTCTTATATTTGGATAGTCATTTTCTTGTAAGAAAAGGTTTGGACTTCTATAAATTGAGGAACCTCCCTTCTCCTTCAGTAGCATCTACAATATAGTTATATGGGGTTTGAGAGTCGTGTTTAAGAAGAGAACTTTACGGGACAAGTGTTAGTGTGCATTTATGTTTGCCTCTTCGTGAGGTTGTTCTCTCTATATTTTGTACTCTTTTTATATAGTGGATTGCTCATCTCCGCCATGGATGTAGGTCAATTGATCGAACCACGTTATATGTTTGTGTCTCTTTTGGTATATTTCTCTTTGTTGTATGATTTATCATCGTTCAAGATTTGCTTTGCTAGTTTTTGCATGACACCTATTTTTTTGGTCCTAACAAGTGGTATCAGAGCCTTGGTTATTTATCCGGGTTGTTACGGAATGGAGGCAAATATGAGCAAGATGATATGTTTAAATGGGAGAAATTATAATGTTTGGAGAAGCAAGATAAAATATTTGCAGCTCAAACCAGAGAGTATATCTGATGAAGATTGGGATTTCGAGCACCAACAAGTATGTGGATATATACGACAATGGGTTGAAGATAATGTTCGCAACCATATTTTGAATGAGACACATGCGAGATCATTGTGGAAAAAGCTAGAGACTCTTTACACTTCAAAAATTGGGAACAACAAGTTGTTCCTGTTAAAGCAATTGATTCCCTTTAAATAAAAGGAAGGCAGCCTTATCCTTAATCACATAAATGATTTTCAGGGCGTCCTTGATCAGTTGTTTGGAATGAGAGTTAATTTTGATGATGAGATACAAGGACTTTGGTTTCTTAATACTCTATTAGACTCTTGGGAAACTCTTCGTGTTTCTTTGACAAATCCAGCTTCTGGAGGTTAGGTGAATATGGAATATGCCAAGAGTGGTGTGTTGAACGAGGAAGTAAGGAGAAAATCTAATGGTTCCTCCTCATAAGCAGATATTGGTTACAGAAGACCAGGAGAGAGATAGAACAAGAGGCTCGAGGAATAGAGGTAAAAGTAGAAGTAAGTCAAGGTCCAAATACTATAATATTATATGCAACCACTGTGTCAATAAAGAACACATCAAAAGGTTTTGCCACAAGTTGAAGCAAGACATTAGAGAAGGAAAAAAAGTTGAAAATAATGAGAACAATATTGTTGCTATTGTTCGAGATGACGTTATTTTTGCTTATGATGAAAGTGTCATCAATTGGCATCCCATGAGACGAGTTGGATAGTAAATTCTGGGGCTACCTTACATGTCACACCAAGAAAAAAAATTCTCATCTTATACTCCTGTTGATTCTGGAGTGTTAAAGATGGGCAATGCCAGTGAAGTTAAGGTGTTTGGTGTTGGCACAGTTTGTTTGAAAACTAATAATGGTTCAACGTTAGTTCTTCAAGATGTCAAGCATGCTCCAGACTTTCCTTTCAATTTGATCTCCGCAGGATGATTAGACGATGAAGATTACCATAATTCCCTCTTTAATGGCAAATGAAAGCTCACCAAGGGCTCGTTAGTAGTGGCTTGAGGAGTCAAGTCTGGTCATTTATATGTGACACAGGGCTCTATTCTTAATGTATCCATAAATCTGGTGGAACGTGACACTTTATCAAAATTGTGGCACAGAAGATTGAGTCATAAGAGCGAGAGGGGGATTACGTGTTTGGCTAAGAAAAGTTTGTTTTCTGGAGTGAAAGAACCAAAGATAAAAAGGTGTATCCATTGTTTAGCTAGCAAACAGAAAAGAGTTTCCTTTCATAGCCATCCTCCTTCAAGAAAGCCCGATTTATTGGAGCTAGTACACTCTGATTTGTGTGGTCCCTTTAAAGTAAAGTCAAAGGTGGTGCAGTTTACTTTGTGACCTTCATTGATGATCATTCTCGTAAGTTCTGGGTGTATCCTTTGAAATCTAAAGATCAAGCACTTGGTGTGTTTAAGGAATTTCAGGCCTTAGCTGAGAGACAGGCGGGGAAGAAATTAAAATGTATTCGCACTGACAATGGTGGTGAATATTGTGGTCTCTTTGATAACTATTGCAAGGAACAAGGAATTCGTCATCAAAAACCTCCGCCCAAGACACCTCAATTGAATAGTTAGGCAGAGAGGATGAATAGAACTCTAGTTGAGAGAGTTAGATGCTTGCTTTTAGAGGCTAAACTTCCAAATACATTTTGGGCAGAAGTACTTAACATTGTTGCCTATGATATCAATTTGTCTCCTGTTATTGCTTTGGATGGTGATGTCCCAGACAAAGTTTGGTTTGCAAAAGATGTTTCTTATGATCACATGAGAGTTTTTGGGTGTAAAGCTTGTGTGCATGTTCCTAAAGATAAGAGATCGAAACTGGATGTCAAAACTAAGCAATGCATCTTTATTGGTTATGGTCAAGATGAGTTTGGGTATCATTTTTATGATGCAGTTGACAATAAACTTATTAGAAGTCGTGATGCAATATTCATTGAAGACCAGACTATTAAAGATATTGACAAAGTTGCGAAGATAGATTCTTAGAGTAATAAGAGCTTAATTGATATTGATCTAAATTTTATTGCTAAGGCACCTATTGCACATAAAGGAACCCAAGACAATGACGGAGATATTGATCAAGATCAAAATGATCATCATGGTGTAGATATTATGGATGCTCCAGTTGATGAAGTTATGGTTGATCAACAACCAATTCCTACTCAGGTAACTACTTCGAATGTTTCTGAAACCTTTCTTAGAAGATCTACAAGGGACAAGCAAAAATTCATGCGTTATCCTCCTGATGAGTATTTACTTTTGACTGACATGGGAGAACCTAAAAGCTATGATTAAGCCATGCAAGATACTCACAAAGATCAGTAGATAGAATCCATGGAAAATGAGATAAAGTTACTCCATGAGAATGGCATATATGAGTTAGTGAAATTGCCGAAAGGTAAAAAGGCTTTATCAAACAAATGGATATTCAGATTAAAGCAAGATAACCATACCTCTGCGCCCAGGTACAAGGCGAGGTTAGTTGTTAAAGGTTTTGGCCAGAAGAAGGGAGTTGACTTTGATGAAATTTTCTCCCCTATTGTGAAGATGTCTTTTATTCATGTGGTTCTAGGCTTATCCGCGAGTCTAGATTTAGAGGTTAAGCATATGGATATCAAGACTGCTTTTCTTCATGGTGATTTATATGAGGAGATTTATATGGAGCAACCTGATGGTTTTGTAACTAAGGGAAAATAAAATTATGTCTACAAATTGAAAAAGAGTCTGTATGGATTGAAACAAGCTCCAAGGCAATGGTATTTGAAGTTTGAATATGTCATAGAAAAACAA